ATTATTTATTTTCCTCTTATAAAGTTTTGAGAATTTTTTCAGAATTTTTTCAGAATTTTTTAATACCGTATTTTCTCATGTTAATAAAAATAAGAAAATGCAGTACTAAAAAGTTGATAAAAAATTCTGAAAAAATTCTCAAAACTTTATAAGAGGAAAATAAATAATATTTGAGTAAAAAATTATTCAAGGCTAATATTTTGCAATTTTTAGTAATTAGGTAATATCTTGTTAACTGCGAAAATTGCAAAAAAGTAGAGGACTTTTCGACTCAGTTTAATCCGCTCTATCTACACAAAAGTGATTGGCAAAAAAGGTCGGGACACCCTATATATATAAATTTGCCCAAACACGGCCTAAAAGTTCATTATTAAAAAATATACAAAATATATTTTATACAATTATCCAGATGTCTGTCCTTCATTTTCTTGAGAATCATCTTAAATGCTCAGACGTATCATGAGAAATATTTGAACGACATCGAACATGACAATGTATATGTTACTTCGTACTTCCGGAAAATCGATGCAAGACGGAAGGCTCGTGGTAGTCTAACTCTACTGCCCCTAAAGAAAATCGAGAGATTGAAATTCGTGGATCCATACAGCCTGCGGCCGGGCCAAGTCGAGCGGGTGCATCTGACAGGGCAAACGGTGAAGTTGATCCTCGAACTGATCAGCGTAACGACATTTATACTGATGGACAGACTCTTCTTTGAAGCACTTGATTTAATCAGAAGACACTCCTATATGGAATATACTCAGGTTTGAGATTTGGAAAGCGATTCGATCAACAATTCTTGTTATTTCTAGTTAGATTTGAGTTCAAGCCCAAGATTCAAAACATCTCTGCATATGTTCCAAGTTTAAGTTTTTATCCTCTTTTATCTGTAAATTTTAAAAAAGCTAATTTTACAAAATATTAATTTATTCAAATGTATAATACAAACAAGAAAGGAGGAAATCTACAACGAACACGTAAGCAGGAAAGTTTGAAGTAATAATAATAAACAACTAACATATAAAAATGACTAGATCTAATGCGGTTTTCCTTAAGGCGTTATATAACTTAATTATTTATTCTACCCGATCTGTTTTCAACTATAACTAGAATTTTTTCTAGGCGGGTCACCACGACTTGACCTTGGAGGTTCGCGGTATTGGAATGATAGCTTCTCTGATACGTAGCGTTATCCGCGGATTCAACGTGAAGAGGCGAGTAAAGACCGTGGTGTCCAACAGCGCGTGTCTACCGAAAGCCAGTAAAGTACCGAATTACATGATCCTCAAGATCTATTCGCTCTATCTGGCCATTTGGATGTTATTGTTCACCGCCGCTTACACGCAACGGCTGCGGCGCATAATCTGCTCGTTCTTCTACAGGAAACGCGAGAAGAGGCGTGTACTGTATCTCTACAACGAGAGTCTGAGACGCAGACTTGGTCACGCCAGGTAGAGAAGGGATTAAATATCTCACGGTTAATTTCGCAGATTCTTCAAGTATCTGCTTTGAGTTCTCTATGACTATTTCGAGAAAAGGAAAAGACAATTTTGGTGAAGTATGTAAAAATTTAGATAGATGCAAATCTGAAAATAATTTTGTTGAGCCGTCAAAATAATTATGTAAGGTTCAAGCATGACGAACAATGCTACAAAAAAGTAGAACGTTCTAGCAATCAGTTTGATTACAGTACAATGTACGATTATTACATAAATATTTTAATCTGTATGATCTAGCTATTTTAAAGTATCTCAACATAACCATTCTTTTCTGTGCACACTGAGAGAAAAATGTTTTGTATTTGTAACTATAATTACCATATTTTTTTATGGTTGTCCCAAAATTCAACTATAAAATTATAGTCACATGAATCATTTTTATGATAATTTCAACTATTTTATGGTTATAATAATTATAATTATAGTCATTTTAGGTTACCAACTATATACATTTGTTGCTAGAAATATATACATAGTTACTATTATTATAGCAGTAATAATCATAATTATAGTAATACGTAATTACAGTTACAAATATCAAACATTTTTCTCTCAGTGCATGTATGTTATCCGGGAATCTTCTTTATGAATAAGAGATTCAGTTCTCTTTCTACATCGAATCATGTATACAACTTCGAACACTACTTATTTTGATGAGGATAAAATAGCGAATTTTATACGAATAGTCAATAGTGCTCAAACTAGTTTCATGAAACAAAATTTGGAATCCATAAATGCTCAAATCTTTGCTCATTTTCGATCTTTATCTTATTTTCGATATCAAGGTTCATGCGAGCCAGGGTCAAGACTTTAGTCAGAACTCATCGGCTAGAGTACGACATAGATCCGTGGATCGCCCTGAGGACACGTTGGCCAGCACTCTGCGGTTGGTTGGTGATCTTCGCCTGGGCACGTCACAAGTGCCTCATCTGCGGCGAAGTGGAACCGAGGAAAGGTCCGCAATTCCATAGATGCACGACACCCGGATGTCCTTTCGTTCATTGTCTCGAGTGCTGGGACGATGTCGATAGAATTTGCTATGCCTGCGCAGATATTGGCGAGACGGATGACGACACGGACGAGTTCGACACTTTTGAAATAAAATAAAAGGGGAACCGGTATATGTGAACGTTTCGCTCTCTCGATACACGACCTGTTATATCCATTAATATTATGTATACCAGATTTATATAACGCATTTTTTTAATTTACGAAAGAAGCTACACGAAGGAAATAACCAATTTAAATTTAAAATTTTACTATTTTATTTACAATTATTTCTAAAAATTGAAATCTAACTAAAAATTGAAATTTTAACTAGTTCGATTTCCTGTGCTCTGTATAGGTAATGTTTTTTTTATAAAATGTACATAACAATATATAATTTGAACCTGATTTATTTAATATTAATTTTTAATAATATATAATAATAATAATAATGTACGTATTACCAAAAGTTAGTATTATTGAAAATTTATCTCTCTATGATAGTGTATTACGTATAATATATTTTTAATTATATTTACATCAACCAATTTATATATTTTGGTTATTAAATAAAATCAGAAAATACCAATACAATTAATATAATCAAAATAAAAAATCATATATTAGTTTTATATAATATATATATGTATGTATATACTGAGATGCGACAGAAAAGTTTGACATTCAGAGATTGATTCTAATATCCTAACATTTTTATAATCTTTAAATTCGGAAAATAAAATTTATATTCTTATTATTTTTTATCACACACAACATTGCTTTAAACTTTGATTACTAGTATTTATTACGCTCAGCGCTAATTGGAAAAAACTTTTTGCCGTATCACAGGCGAAAATCTTCAGCTCAGTGATAGCTATCTTATATTGCGTTGAGATCTTTTTTATGTAAAGAGATCATACGAATTGGATTCAAATGAGGAGAACGTCAGATGGTTCTATATATCATCGAGCAATGAAGATAAACATGAAGATAAATATACATGGAATATATTATGACGCATATATATTACGAACGATGTTTTATTTACACACATACGTATACATTTTAAATGTGTCAAGTTTCAACTAGAAGGACAATGACAATTAGTACTGCATCATAATAATTTTATATCGTATATTAATTTTTCTCCTTGCTCATTCCTGATTAAATCTGGACGTTTTCTTTCTTGGCCATTTCCTCATATTTCTTCGCGAATTTTTCTTCCGGATCGTATTTCGCCTTCAATAGATTCCACCACTCTCTCTTATTTGTCACTAGATGTTTTATCACCTTCCTTACCATCTCTCTCTGTTTGTCCGAACATTTTGCACATTCATTTTCTAGCGCCTCGTTTATGTGTTCTGCAATTACATGATTATTATTTATTTAATGATGCTAAATGCAATCGGATACTAATTATCTTGGTCATGTCAGGATCGAGTTTGATATCTAATAAAAATTTTTCTTAGAATTCTTCATATAATTTTTCAAAGTTTTTATGTAAATTTTAGATCTTTTCAAAATTTAAATCTCTTCTGTAATTTCTACAATTTTATAATTTTATGAAAATATTCAGATTTTTTAATATAAATTTGAATATTTTTTAGAAATATTGAAAAAATTTACACATCTTTTCTAAAATTTTAGAATTCTTCATATGTCAAATATGTTGAATATAAAACTTTTAAGATTTTGCATTCCATAATTTTCGAAGAAAACGTTTATAAAATCTGAAAACATCTAAGGTATTTTTTCAGAAATCTTTGTAAATTTACATATATATAAAATATAGCAAATTCTTAAAAATATAAGACATTATATAAGAATTTGTTTTACCAGGGCACTTAGAAAAAATATCTTTAATAGTTAATCGTATCGCGTTCTGTCAACTGTCAAAGATGTTGATATATAATTAGAGGCGTAACTTTGTGACAAATTAAATGTTTATTAGTTAAGGAGTTGTATAATTTAGCGAGCGATAAATACTTGCTGAGGAAAAACTTCCTCTCGGTTAAAAATAATTCCATATTTCGTATATAAAACTCTTTTATACATGTTATATCAGAAGCTACAAAGTTCTAGAATATTTTCGTCTCTATGGACTGGTCGTTCCATCTTATGGTAAAGTTTACCTGTTAGATAAATCTGGCAATCCGCGCGTGATTGGATAATCTTGCTACTTATACAACAGGTAAAATTTACCAAACGATGGAACAACCGGGCCTAAGAGATATTGTTTTAAAACTACTTCTGAGAATGACCTTTTTTGCAGTATATTTATACTCTTCAGGCATTATTTTAATAAAAATAAATAATGATGAGATTACTTATAATTATCCAGATAGCACAGAGAATTTAAAAAGAATTAAAAAAGAATTTAGTCGTAAATTCTGGGTTTCTTTTTTTTTTGGAAGTTCTGAAATGAATTTGTATTTTTTAAAATGACTCAATCTTGGTATAGGCTCCAACGAATAAATCCAAGGATAGATGTAAATTAGCCAATGCAAACCAACACAGGTTAGGCATTAACATTATTATACATAAGTTTTTTGTTGAATTGTTGATTTGATTTATGTTTTAATGACTTATTCAACTTTATCAAATTACAGATAATTTGAAATGTTAGATTTGAGTATTTTGTTAGATACGATAGACAGCATTATTATCAATTTATAAATATATATTAACGATACTTCAATTTACTTCGCATCACATCTTTTATGTTAAATTTATACGTCACCGATTTTATTTTTGTTTTTATACTGAGGAAGACCCAATCGCGAAAGGATTGAAACGTTTGTCAATTTTTCTCAAGAGTAAAGTATAAGATTTTACACATGCTGTGTTGGCTCGCCTTGGCTAATTTACATCTATCTTTGGATTTAAAAATGAATTCAGAATTGATGACATATGATTGAATTACGTTTAAACCCTTTATGCTATTTAATAATTATATAGAATCTATGCTTTACGCATACACAGACTGAGACAAACAACCAAATTCAATTCAACTTGTTTAAAGTTTTTTTTTTATCCAGGCTGCATTTATAATAAGAATATAAAAATCATGTGCAATACTCACTCTTCAGTTCAATAGCTTCGGGAGGGCACCTAACGTCGGGCTTGTCCAGCAAACAATCGATATATCGCTTCAACAATCGGTCATTCTGAATAATTTGATCTATATCTATATTGTCAAATCTATTAGTGTATTCTTCCGCGTAAACGACAGAAATAATGGCCAATAGGCAAAACACTGCGAGTTTCATGGCTGCAATATATACATTTAATTAAATACAAGCAAACGAAGTTAGAGTTTGGGAAAACTGTGCAAGTTGTGTCGCGAGTAATTTTGAAAAATACATAATAATATAAGCGAATTTATTAGAGCTATTACACACACTTTCCATAATTGTAACCGTAAGAATTAACCAATCAGAGCTGAAAACATTTGATATTCTTGACTGCTATTGGCTAATTCTTCTGGTATGTCGACGTCGAATGAATGCTGATTCGATCGATCAATCATTTCTAACTGGACGAGATTTGCGAATGATCGATTCGGCACTTTTTTATCAAAAACTGATATTAGAAAATGATATTGATTTGCAAAACTTATGATCTAGTAAAAATTTTTCTCAGAATTTTTATACAAATTGGGACACTTTTCAAAAATACTGAAAATATCTATATCTCTTCTTACAATTTTCCATACATACAAATTCTGAAATATTCTAAGATTTTCTATTCTATAATTTCTAAGATTTTGCATTCTATAATTTCTGAAAAAAATACCATTAACTTTTTCAAATTTTATAAGATTTCATCAGAAATTAAAGAATGACAAATCTTAGAGATCTTAGAATATTTCAGAATTCATATATATGAAATGTACACAAAACATTCTGCAAATTACATGAAAAATTTCCACCAGAGACAATGAAAAATATCGGATGAGACATAAATGCATAGATATTTGCATATTGATCAGATGATTACATGACGTGCAGCGAAGAATAAGCTTAGAGATACATAAATCTTTTCAAATATAGCCTCTTAGAAGAACGTCACAATAATTAAATTAACTTCCACAACAGTATTAATAATTGCGATGCAATTATATTTTAGGTCTTTATCGATTCTTTTTCAATCGGAATACACTGATTCACATTCAACGATGAAAAAAACTTAACCATATTCGAATCGTAAAGCGCGATAGTTAATTTACTGTGTAATCACATTCATTTTTCAAAGCGATGTCCCAACAAAGAAATCGCGCCGATTGACATGGGATAAATGCTCACCTAACACGTGTTATTCGCAGTCTGACGTATATAATTGTACGGATATCACTCGTGTGACTTGACTTTATATACGTACGAAGAGACGAACGGAATGGTGGGAATGGTACCGATTTATTCTATGAATTCTACTTAATCGTTAGCTAGCACCTTCACCTTCGCACCCGTCAGTGGAAAACACGTCATCGGCTTTAATAACGCATTATCATTTTTTTTTCTCGCTGACGGAGAACTTAAAAATGCAAGGGTGATTTTCAAGTGTTATTACCATAACTTATATAATAACTTCTTAAAAAGGAGAGAATGCTATAATATAATTTAAAATCTATTTAAATTACATACGCATTAAAAATATTAACTGGATAGTTTTCCTTTTTTAAATAACATATTTTCAGAAATCATAAAATTTTCTGTGGTTAATACAGAACGGAACGGAAAAATCTTTTTGAAAACTTTAAATTTATTACATGATTTATCATCAACTTTTAGTCTTTGAGTTATTTAAGAGACTTGTCTTGTGATTGGCAAACTATGTTTCACTTCATTCATATTCATTCTTCCTTAAAAAATTCCGTCGTGGAAGAAATGTTATTTCGATGACTGAAGATTAGTATCAATATGAATGAATTATTATGAAATATTATGTAATAACTGGATTATTGAAATCGATATCATATTTCTCAAGGTTTTTCGCAATAACTATATAATAATTTATTTTTAATTTCTAATTACATAATACTAATTTTTCAAGACTTGCTATATTTGTGAACAGTTCAGGCGATGTTCCTTCCAAAAAAATTATTTACCTCATTTTTATCGAAGTCACGTCTATAACTTTCCAAGATAAGCATGGTTGTTGATTTATAGCTTTTCGTCACGTTATTGACAAAAATATCTAAAAATCGCTTTCTTTCTCCCATATAAATTCACTTGAATTAAAACGGGTATTATAGGAGCAATAATAACATGATATACGCAGGGTTATGCAAGAAAAATATAACTGGAGGATATCGGGTAAATTAACAAAAAAACATCACGAAAAACATCATTTTTAATCTAATAGCTTTGATTAGCTCTGACTCAACGATCCTACGATGTTTGGAAGCAAATAAGAGTTATTAAAGTAATCATTATATAATTACCGAGTGCATATTACACACGTGTTTATCTCGGTATTGTTACATCAATTAAATTACTTTCTGGGAGATCAGCGGGGAAAAAGGTATAGAGTTGCAGAAATTAAAAATGCAAGTCTTTTTTAATTGAAAATATCGCATAATTTATTTCGCACAATTGTTCGACGAGTATCCATGTCGGAGTACATCATAATAAATAAGTTGTAAAGAGTTAATTTTTTGTTGTTCAATTGAGAAAATAGTGCGTACAGTGTAACACGCGTGTCAAATATTATACAGACAATTTATTGTGACCGAAGCTGTACTTCTTATATCATTCTTTATCCGACTACAGTTGTTTCATAAGAATTTTTTTTATTTCGATGTTGATACGTTATAGCTAAAATACTTTATTAACTTTATATACATAACGCGAAGATGAGATCATTAATCAATGATCGCATTCAACAGAAGTAAACACTTGGAAAATACTTTGCGTCGAATTTGAATTATACTTGAATTCTAGGAATAGAATTCTGTTTTAGTGAAGGAAACTTCCAATAATTGCAAAATAAACACTCTGCTAAATGCGACCATTAATCTCGATTGCCCATACGCACAACGCTTACAAGAAGCAGTCTCAATATAATTAGCTATGCACCACCAAATATAGTCGGATAAACGGAAGAGGTATCTGTTTAATATCTATACAAAATATAAGCGAATCGTTCGTATTTCAGCGTCGCCCTTTCATACAAATGTTTCTCTTCGCATACATACGCACACACGCGCACAAAGAGAAAGTCAAGATATAGAATTTTTCTATCTACTTAAACCTGAGTATAGGTCTCATCTCATTTACTCGTGTTATGTACAAATAGATAGGCTCTCTTTTATATCTACATAATTAGGACCTATATATACACTTCACCATATCCCTCTATTTAGACTTACATATACAATTTTCATAAGCGTGAAAATTTCGGGGACAAGTGATTTAAATGATATTTAATAATATATTATCATACAACTAAAAATTTCTGCTTTACTGTACTTTAAAGAAAATTAACATAAAAACATACATATGATATATTCTGAAAAATTTGAGTTATTTCATGTTTCATGAAATAAGAATTATAAAAATCGCAATTGTTCGTACCTAATCGACGAAAGGTCATTCACGAATCTCTTTGATTACTTTGAAATTATTTCAAAAAATGTTCAACAAAACTCGTCTGAACAAAATTCCTAACTTTTATTTATGTGTATGATAATATTCTGCTCGATAAATTATTATTAGTCTCAAATGGAAGAAAATGTAAATACATCAAAGTATAGCAAAAATAGTGATGATTCCCCTTGATGATTTCTGCATACTTTACGTATACCCCTTTGAAAGAAACGTTTCAATGAATGTTTCTTACTGAGGCAGCTTTCGTAATATCACAAAATTTAACACATGCCTACTGGCAATTAACAGATCATTTTCATCAATTTTTACTTTTACAGTAAAAATGGAAAATAATTAACGCTCCTACAGGTATCTTTTAAATGTCTTTTCCGTTCCCAAAAATCTGATTTAAAATTTTGTCGTAACAAATTTTGTCATAATAAAGACGACACTTTATATGTCGTAAAATTGTAATTATTTGTGCTTTAAAGCATATATTAGCATTAATAAGGTATCCCCTCCCTTGTCGTATATACAAATACTATACAAATAAAACAAATTATTCAATACTATACATCTTATTTTAGTTGAATATATGAATATTTGCACCAATTTTCGTCAATAAGGAATTTTTAACCCAAATATGAAAAAAATCTTTCAATTATTAAATGGATTATATAACATCACATACATAATTATGTCATTATGGTTTGCACATGATTTACATAGTACGCATAATGTATATGTAATATTTTAATTGAGAATTGGTGTAATTAAATCGATTTATCGAGGTCTAGCACTTTAAATTTCTGGTAAAAAATAAACAATTCCTCCTATACGTTACATCATTAGCCTTTCATATAGGTGTACGTAATCGATTTTAATAGCAATACAGCTACCTAATAAACAACAATAACAATCATAATAAAGTAGCCAATTCCAATATCTTTCTAGAATAAATTATATTGATCTAAAAAATTTCGACATATTTTTCATGTGCTGCTTTATGTACTATAATTTTATAATTTAAAAACAATGGCTGCGTTCAACAGAGAAAGTAGCTGTGTAACTGTTGTCTTCTTCTTCAAGTGCCATACGCTGTCATCAGCGCGTAGGCGCCTCCTTCTCGTATACCTTTGCGTGCACACTGATCGTACACAAGGTATATGGAGGCCTACAGTTTTAATGCTGATTCCTAACGGCAATTTTTAATAGGAAGATTTCCTGGGCAAGAGTATACTACTCGGTAGTTTGCTATTGCCTTCCGAAAGGAAATACGAGCGTACGAAAATTTTCGGTTTTGCCGAGGGTCGAACCCGGAATTTCTATCTAGTATAGCAGACCAGTGCACTGTCAACTATACCACGCTCGCGCTCTGTTGTAAAATTTTTCAATATAGTTGCTTTATCCATTTAGATCCATAAGCAATCAAAAACAAGAACCAATCTCATTGAAGAATTTTACAACAGTTGCAAAGCTGCTTTCTCTGCTGAACGTAGCCATTGTAAATAATCTTGATATTTCCTTATTGCCGAATATGATAACAATTAAAATAAAAAGAAAAGTGCTCAAAAGGCATGTCTACATATGGACATAACATAATGGAAGAATTAATTGAGCAATACGTTTAATGGCTCTACGTAGGCAGTGTTAAGAGATTCGTTTAAATTCAATTGGAAATAAATAAAATATTTTAAGGGTCGATTCTCATTTGTTAATCATCAAACATTTGTTAATGTTTGTTGCAATTAAATAAATTGTTTATTATTCTCAATATTTGTATTAGCCGTGCTATAATAAAAATCAGTCCAAAAGAAAAAGAATAAAGAAGCGATTGAATACTTGCTGAGATTTTATAGAATCGGCCCTGAAGTCTTTGGCCACGTTCAAGAGAGAAAACTGATCAGTAAACGAATCAGTGATTCTTTAATGTGATTGATTCGCCTTTAGTTCTTCGCTGTAATGAATCTAAGTGTAGGAATCAATCACATTAAAAAATTATTTAGTGTTGATTGATCAGTTTTCTCTCCTGAACGCAGCCATTATCAGATTTATCACAAACGCCAAACATGTAATTTGCGCCTGATAGTGAATCTATCTGATCCTACGTTGAACTATAGATCACGTTATATTATAGCAATATCCCTATGTAAAAGAAGGATCAGTAACAACATAACTACTATGCACGTATGCGTTCTTTTCTTCCGTTTCTTGTCTTTATCCATCTGCTTCACATTTAATTCCGAATCAGACTTAAAAATTTTAATTATATCTAAGACTTAGCTTATAAGATTAGAAATGACTTAGAGTGGCAAAAAAATCGTAAATTTTTACAGGTTTGATCAATTGGCTGTAATCCAACCGTTAGTTACTAAATAATGAAGAATTTTGCTTTCTGGTTCTGATTGAGGTACAATACTCAATCTCCTATTACCGGTTAAATATTCCTGTGACATTAAAAATATATATTAACAAATATTATAATTACAATAAAAAAAAATTATAATCGACGATTCATCACTTACTTGTAATAACAATGTCTTTTGCGTCAAATACTGAGTCGGCTTTAGATCAAGTTGAATACATAAGGATTTTTCTTGCTTTGTTAAAAGATGAGACGCAGCCTCCAATTCTATATCTCGCTCTTGGATAGTGGAACCACTGTTGTAACTTTTTTCGTGTAAAGAGCTGGGGCTGGAAGTCGACTGATTGGAAGTGTTTGGATTGCTATCCAACTCCGCCCACTGATTGGCTGGAGTCGTCGTCCGATTGTGATTGGCTTGACTGACTGTGGAGTTGACTAAATCTTGCT